CAAAAACCTTTCGTTGGTTAAAAAGATCGTGCAACAAGGGTTAGTAAGGCATTATTATCAAATTGTGTGTTCCTTTCTATTATTAAAATAATTCGGTTATACTATATATTGTACTTGTAATACACACTTCGTCTATATGTGGACTTTCACCGGTTGTTTGAATTATGCCATTTTGAACGTATAAGAATACCAGGTTAGGGAATTTAAACGAGTGTTTACGAAGGGTTCGTATATTATTATTGTTTGAATATGTGTGTTGCTTAGAAAAATTTTCAAACACACAGACTTGTTAGAGTTAAAATTTAACATAACAGCACAACATGTTATCTGTGACCTGCTGAATCGTCTTCATGACATAATGACACATGTAATAATTCAAAATATTCAAACCAGGCGGTAAAATTCTAAAAAAAAAAAGCTTCACCTTATTTAGTTGATCACTGTTTTCTGACATTAAAAGTTAATATCGTCAATATCATTAATAATTAAAATCATTTTACAAACACTGTTGTTGGTTTTTGTAATATTAAAAATATTTCTTAAAGCATAACAATGCGATTCATAAAGTACAGAGGGAGTGAACGCTGGTTGCCACACGCAAAAAAACTGGTGCTAAATGGAATATTAAACTCTTAACAAAACGCTGACGGTGAAATAAAACACATTAAATAATGATTGAATTCAATGGCAACGAATGGTATGACTTCCAATTTGAATTAATGCATTTATGTAATGCCAAACAATAGCAACCAGCTGAATATTGTCCATTTTTATAACTGATTAAAATATGTTTTGAAACGAAAACGTGAGCATGCTTTTTGTATCTATGAACCACCAGAAATGCGAACATTAAGCCCTTGTTCGGTAACCTCAGAAATGATAGCAATTCCGTCTTTGCGTATTGCAGAGTTATCTTCTCTTGGGAGCAGGTATTGATTGTTACGTCACTTGTTTGTAAGAGCAACGGCATCAATTTCTGGGAAAACGACCTAATTTTCTCGCATAAACCAATGACGTAACAATCAATAACTGCTCCCAAGAGAAGTTAACTCTGCAATACGCAAAGACGGAATACTGAGGTTGCTACAAGTATTCTAATTATCAATTCATCAATTGTATCAATTAACAACGACCTTGCATGGTATTTCTTTCTTTCATTTTTCTTTCATTTCCTTTTATCAATTAAAATAATTAATGTTTTCAAACGATACAATTCTAAGAGGTAGATATGTGCAAACTACTAACGACCTTGTATGGTCTTCCTTTTTTTTCTTTCTTCCTTTTTTCTTTCATTCTTTTATCAATAAAAATTATTAATATTCTCAAACAATGACATATTTATATGTACAATACATAAAGGGATGTATCATGAAGAACAGTATTATAGTATAAAATACAAACAGCCTTGTACAGTATTTCTTTCTTTATCCTTAGTTCGTTTTGCTTTTATTCATCTTTCTATTGTCATTAGAACATGGTCGTGTCAAAACAGACCATTGGTCCAGACAGCTAGACCGGAAATGGACAACCCTTTTTAGCTCCTAACTAGTGTACTACCAATCATTTGACAGGGATCAAGGCTTGTTAACATATGATCAGGTGTATCGGAGGACATTCGCTCTGTAGTCCATTATATATGGAAGACCGTAATTGGCATCAATACTCAAGTTTGTCTTTGTTAATTTTTAACAGTTCAAACATGCATAAATGTGAAATAAAAATGTAAAGAAAAATACTAGGCAACGGTTTTATCATTTATATATTTGTATGCATGAATAACAAACAAGCGATTATATCTTTGATAAGGATACTTTTATTTAATATTAAAATCATGTCTAAACGCATATATATGTGTGAAAAACAAAGAGCGTTGTTGTTTAAGTGTATAGGTCAGTATTAAAAAGTATAGATATAGATATATTTAAACGTATGATGTAATATAGATATTATGTTAATAATATTATCTAAAGTTCCTTGTGTAAGAAAAAAGTGATCTCTCCAAACATTATTTATTACATATGTATCTATTATTTCATATAATGATTTTCTATATATGTTTCAACGTTTTATCATAATAATGAATATACAGCGATATCTCAAATCGTACAACTGCCCAACATACATTGCCCGTTGGGCAATGGTCTTCCATAGCTCAAAGACAGTTAACGACCAGGCGACACATTTTCTTTGCAGCTTTGACACACGTCAAAGTGTTAAGTAGAAACACGCGAACGAATGTCATTTAATGAATTTCGTTAAAAAAGGCAATAAAAATAGCGTTGATACAGTTTTCTTTGCTACATGCTCCAATGAACCGTATCGAAAACGACTTGAAAGATGTGTTTGAGATCAGATAGCGGACTCGAACGCGCCGTCACCATTTTGATTCTTTTCAATTGCAGATGAGATTATCTCAAACACGTTTGAATAGCTTAATATGAATGCTTTTCTAGAGCCCTAGATTTTTTCCGATTTTACAACGATTACATTTTTATGAAGTAAAAGAGATGCAGTTTCGCTATTTTATTTGAAATGTATATTGTGTAGAATTTTATGAATATTAACATTGTATTTTGAGGAGAAATGAGACTACTACCATACAGTATATGCCGTACATGATGGCAATATCAATCCTCCATTATCATAGATCAGGCAAAATGGCCAATAAATGTGTCAGATCGCACACGCCTTACTAATAATTGTTGTACACGCTATCACTCGGACAAACCAAATGGACACAGGTCATTTATTGAAACCACTGAATGATTTCTGATTGAGGTTGTAAACATGTCAACGTTTTACTAATTAGCATAGAAGTGATGATTCAATGTGCTTCAATATCAGGGTCTAGTTTAACCAATCTTCCTCAACTTAAAAGGACTGTCATTTGTCGTTTGGAGTACGACTTTGTCCGGTTACTTTGACTTTGTTGTACATACCTTTCATCTTGTACTCTTTATATCCCGTCCCGAACATAGCTCTGTAATACTTTGTTTTTGCTTAAAGAAAAATAATTGAATTCAATCTGAAAACGAACTCTCCGACTTCAAACAATAACAATATGGACAATTAGTATTGAAACACTGATTCGTGAGTTCGGCGGATGCAGTGCACACGTTCAAAATTTAATTCGTGGCCTCAGTTGGAAAATAAATTATAGAAAACAAAACATCGGCCCTTGTTAGTACTAATTGAATCCATCTCGGTATAATCTACATGTAACACGTTGTGTACGACTCCTAGGCGTCTCTGATGCTCACGTTCTTCGGCGGTTGGTAACAAGATATGACAAGGTACTTATTACCATGATGAGAATCAAATTAAAATGATATATGCCAATTAAAAAGACATCATTACAACTTAAATGACATAAAAACATTAGTTATTTGTCTACTGACTATAACGCGATGCCGTGATCTGCAATGTGCGTGCGGTTAGTGCAATGTGATGCCCCGAAGCGCCAGGAATTCGTCAATTAAAGGTTCCTAGCAGAAGGTCAGATAAAATTAATTTCGTAATGACTATTGAAGAAAGGGATTAATTAGCTTTGAGTTGCTTTTTAATACATCATTCATTGTGTTTGCTGTGAGCCATACGCATTATTTTTGTTTCTAAGAACTAAGAAATTATAACATAAATCCCCAATGGAGGAGTAATGAGGAATGATTGGTCCGGCGAGACATGCACTTATTGATCAACATCCTAATTAATGATTCGTTCTATGTATATTTTTCTTCATTTTTCTGATTGCAGTTCATAAATTGATGTTGTTTAAGACTTATTGAGCGACATTTAACTTGGAAGTGTAGATAACTATAATTTCAATCTGATGTTTAATTTGGTTTGCTTGACATGGTATAACTTCACAAAAGACAAACGATGATATAAAATTCAATTGGCCCATTTAAATATATGGTTATAGCTGCTTTGGAAAAATTAGATTCACAAAAAACTACAGTATAGATTTTTCACACTACATTTATTCATATGTTTTTTATGTTAATTCACTTGACGTCACTATTCAATATGAGTTTTGTACAATAGCTAGCCTTCGGTAAAAGGTAATGCGATTACAGCAGCATATTTCAAAAGTGATTACTTGTTTTGTGTGTATACATTTGATGTTGTAGTGTTGTTTCATGATGACAGTTTTTATTTGTTATATGTTGTGATATGTAAGTGTTCAATTTTCATTCTTGAAAAAGAAGCGAATTGCACTGGGAATTCGACCACTTCCTTGTTCAGCTGTACCTATTTAGACAAAGAAGTAAACACATCACGTAATACGCATCCAAACAACATGTATTTGTTCATATCCTATGCTCATATTTGAGCATACTGTCGTTATTACTTATGAGACCTATATTTTTGTATGTAATTATTTTGTGAGAAGAACTCGACAAAGGCCCAAATTAATATATACATGTGTGCATGTAGCTTGGCAATTCTATGCGAACAAACTTTTTGGGTTCCTAGCCGATTCATTGTAAAATATGTGGCTTTATTTATTTGAACACCTTATCAGAACTGTTAACAAAAAACCTTTTACCTAGTCCTTCGGTTTCACTTTTAGATAAATCGACGATTGATATCTTTAAGTAATAAGAATTTAATTGACCACATCGATCGTATATATACCCTCCAGGACACAACAGACCCTTTATCATAATTCGCGCTCAACTATCTTTACTTACAACTTTACAAACAGAGACGGCTAACTACTAATAGCGTGACGATTTCGAATTCTTCGATCTCTTTTTTTCCATTTTTGAAAGTGACATCCCTGACATTTCCCCAACATATGTTGTACACATGTTGCAGTGGATATGGTATTTGATAGCCTGCATTGAATACCATGATTTCAGTGTTACTTGATGACTACTGACGATCAAACTTAAAAGCTTTGACATAATATGCGTTGTTACTTTGTTCTCGTTTGGAGGACGTGACATTACTCGGATTTGAAACAAGCATACCTGGTGAAGTCGTCAATGAAGCAGATGACGCTTACCATCCGGAACACCTGGTATTATCCTCCTTGAATCTTCCATGGGACTTCATGTAAGTATTCCTTTTGTTCATACTTTCCTTAGTTTCGCCGGTAAAGAGTGAATGTTTCTTTTGTTCACATTGTTCGAATTCTTGTTTTGTTGATATAAGTAGTTCGGAATACTCTGATACAAGTAGTCCGGAATACTCTGATACAAGTAGTTCGGAACACTCTGATAAAGTAGTTTGGAATACTCTGATACAAGTAATTCGGAACACTCTGATACAAGTAGTTTGGAATAATTTGATACAAATAGTTCGGAACACTCTGATACAAGTAGTTCGGAACACTCTGATACAAGTAGTTCGGAATAATTTGATACAAGTAGTTCGGAATACTCTGATACAAGTAGTTCAGAATACTATGATACAAGTAGTTTGGAATACTCTGATACAAGTAGTTTGGAATACTCTGATACAAGTAGTCCCGAACACTCTGATCCAAGTAGTTCGGAATACTCTGATACAAGTTGTTCGGAATACTCTGATACAAGTAATTCGGAACACTCTGATACAAGTAGTTCGGAATACTCTGATACAAGCAGTCCGGAATACTCTGATACAAGTAGTTCGGAATACTCTGATACAAGTAGTTCGGAATACTCTGATACAAGTAGTTCGGAATACTCTGATACAAGTAGTTCGGAATACTCTGATACAAGTAGTTCGGAATACTCTGATACAAGTAGTTCGGAATACTCTGATACAAGTAGTTCGGAATACTCTGATACAAGTAGTTCGGAATACTCTGATACAAGTAGTTCGGAATACTCTGATACAAGTAGTTCGGAATACTCTGATACAAGTAGTTCGGAATACTCTGATACAAGTAGTTCGGAATACTCTGATACAAGTAGTTCGGAATACTCTGATACAAGTAGTTCGGAATACTCTGATACAAGTAGTTCGGAATACTCTGATACAAGTAGTTCGGAATACTCTGATACAAGTAGTTTGGAATACTCTGATACAAGTAGTTCGGAATACTCTGATACAAGTAGTTCGGAATACTCTGATACAAGTAGTTCGGAATACTCTGATACAAGTAGTTCGGAATACTCTGATACAAGTAGTTCGGAATACTCTGATACAAGTAGTTCGGAATACTCTGATACAAGTAGTTCGGAATACTCTGATACAAGTAGTTCGGAATACTCTGATACAAGTAGTTCGGAATACTCTGATACAAGTAGTTTGGAATACTCTGATACAAGTAGTCCCGAACACTCCAATACAAGTAGTTCGGAACACTCTGATACAAGTAGTTCGGAGGTCTCTGATACAAGTAGTTCGGAATACTCTGATACAAGAAGTTTGGAATACTCTGATACAAGTAGTTCGGAATACTCTGATACAAGTAGTCAGAAATACTCTGATACAAATAGTTTGGAATACTCTAATACAAGTAGTTTGGAATACTCTAATACAAGTAGTTCGGAGTTCTCTGATACAAGTAGTTCGGAATACTCTGATACAAGTAATTCGTAATACTCTGATACAAGTAGTTCGGAATTCTCTGATACAAGTAGTTCGGAATTCTCTTCTGATACAAGTAGTTCGGAATTCTCTGATACAGGTAGTTCGGAATTCTCTGATACAAGTAGTTTGGAATACTCTGATACAAGTAGTTCGGAATACTCTGATACAAGTAGTTCGGAATTCTCTGATACAAGTAGTTCGGAATACTCTGATACAAGTAGTTCGGAATACTCTGATACAAGTAGTTCGGAATACTCTTATACAAGTTGTTCGGAATTCTCTGATACAAGTAATTCGGAATTCTCTGATACAAGTAGTTCGGAATTCTCTGATACAAGTAGTTCGGAATACTCTGATACAAGTAGTTTGGAATGCTCTAATACAAGTAGTTCGGAATACTCTGATACAAGTAGTTTGGAATACTCTAATACAAGTAGTTCGGAATACTCTGATACAAGTAGTTTGGAATACTCCAGCCCATCCACGTTTTCTGTTTTTGAGTTGTACTTTCATTCTGAGGGGTCCTTACAAAATAGTTTCAATATGTTTAATGCAGTATACAGTTTCAGCATATCGAGTTATGGTACTGGTCATGTTTTTTTCTTAGGGACGTTTTATGGAACGAATATAAAAGTTAATACTGGGTGCGTACCTTAAATCATTTACATTTCGGGAGACATGAGTCTGTGCGTTAATCTGCGTAGAGAAATCTTTTCTACATGTAGGAAGCAATCGCAAAAATATATTTATCCCCAAAAATAAATCAGTAAATGTTTTGCACTATTTAGCATGTTTTTTCGTGTATTAAATGATATTAAGTCGTCTTTATTAATTGAGTAGTTATTGAATATCAATCTTATATCATGTATTAATAAAAAAAAATGTGTCAGAATAAAAATTGTACGTTAATTTATATTGTGTAATCATAGCTGTTATTTTGATGTAATTGTTTGTTGAGAGAACACTGATTTTTGTTTCGCTTGTTACCAAGTCCAGTGATATAAACAACGTTGAAATACAAATTGCCAGTCACTGTTTTCTGGAACATTTCCATCCCATACCAACTATATTTCGTTATCAATACTTTGTAAGAAATCGTGAATAAGTTGGTCTTTAATGGTTTTATATGTATTTCACTTTCTAATGGAGACAATATAGGATTGATATAATATAAAGTTATGTGTATGTAATTTCAATAGTAGATGTACATTTTTGTCAAGCTTTCTAATAATGACACCACCAAATAAATGCAAATTGTCCAGGTATTGGGTGCCTGTGTTACAGATTTTTATGCAGATAAAAAAAGCACTGATTATGCAATAACGATGCTACTGAATTTAAACTGAAACTTTTGATGCTGTGAGTAATTTATCTTTACTGGTAAATCCTTTCAGAGAAAGTCGTTTTTAGAATTGCACTTTTAAAAAATCATCCCTACACGTGTATCGAAGATTGGGTGGTCTTGGTGAAGAAAAGATGCAGATTTTGCTATCGTGAATGGTATCCAATCTTTCTTTATACATAGAATCACGGGAGATAAAACACTGATAAGGCTTGTATCACCCAGGTCGAACACACGTCCATTGTGGAGCTATGCACAAATTGGCACGACATATTTAAATCAGTTTTCTTAAATTATTGACAGAGATACCGATATAGATTTGATTATCATAAAAACATTAAATGTTATTACTGACGTCGCTCTTGATTCTTCCAATCAAAGTAAAAAAAAAATAGTTTGCATAAAAGCTGGCCGAATTGTTCTGCTTTCTTTACGCACCTTTCACCGTGTACAACATGGCGGTCGTTACATATCGAATTATTCCTACGCCATAAAGATGCAATCAGTCCGTACAGCGTGCGAATGATCATACAAATGGAAGAAAACAATCCCTTTTTAATATAGTCCGACAGTACCCAACAAGCTCTTGATTAGCATCGTATCCATGCTTGCACAAATAAACTTCATTAAGGCTAATTAACGAAGCATCCGACAAAGCATACACATCTCCGACAGTGAACTTGTCAGTGGCACACAAAACGATATCGGACTTCCATCTTTCATTGGTGAGTATGTCAAAATTATAAAACTCAATTGCTTCGGCTTTTTATATCAACTTTTTATTCTCAATGAACGTAGCACTTCAAATTTAATTGGCTAACGATTCCTAAAGATTTGTGAACTGGCTTCCGTCACTAGATGATTGATTTGTAGCACGAGCACTCGTCGCGTCGATGACTCCTCTATGACTGACGATTCAGTCATAAGGAGATATGTACTTTTCTACAATTATCAATAGTCATCTTTGAACAGGTGATTTTACGACTTGTATCAGATGCAAGCTCTAAACCGCTTCATTGCCTCTGAAAGACGTTTACCTGGGGGTAGATAGGTGAGGGTGGCCACTACCTTGTCAAACTGGCACTTCACATATGGTCTTAAAGTAAAAACTGACAGTTCATACATTTGAAATTTAGTTTTAAAACAAAAACGAACAAATAAACAACAATGAAAATTTACAGAAAAAAAAAAATTATAACAAAGAAAGAAAAAAATCCTAATGTTAACTTTCTGAAAAATCCCATCACACTACAGACAAGATACTAGAATTCCCCATCACACTACAGACAAGATACTAGAATTCCCCATCACACTACAGACAAGATACTAGAATTCCCCATCACACTACAGACAAGATACTAGAATTCCCCATCACACTACAGACAAGATACTAGAATTCCCCATCACACTACAGACAAGATACTAGAATTCCCCATCACACTACAGACAAGATACTAGAATTCCCCATCACACTACAGACAAGATACTAGAATTCCCCATCACACTACAGACAAGATACTAGAATTCCCCATCACACTACAGACAAGATACTAGAATTCCCCATCACACTACAGACAAGATACTAGAATTCCCCATCACACTACAGACAAGATACTAGAATTCCCCATCACACTACAGACAAGATACTAGAATTCCCCATCACACTACAGACAAGATACTAGAATTCCCCATCACACTACAGACAAGATACTAGAATTCCCCTTATCGTTTTTCATACATACTATACATTCCCAAATACATTCATCTTTACGACATTGTGGGCGGATGGCTCTGTGGATAACGTACTAGCATTTCACTACGGCGGCCGGGGTTCGATTCCCCGATCGGACGTGAAAAGGTATAGGGTCACCTGCCCGGTTTTCTCCGGGTACTCCGGTCTCTCCCAAACTAGGACGGGACCCCGTTCACTAACATCTTGGCCAACAAGAGTGATTAATATTCGTTATTATAACTCGTTTCATAATTATTGTAAATGTAAAATAAATAAAAGTGTATTTATGTAATCGTTTTTGATACATATGTTGTTAAACTGAGCCAGCGAACATGATACGATCAGGGTCAAAGGAGAGGTTTGGTAATCATACGTCAAAGATTGATATATTTTCCTTTATTTCATCTTGTTATGTTACAGGTCTATTTTCAGCAATGATTCATTAAATCTATCGTCATACATGTACAAATGCTTTAAGCTTATAGTTACAGTTTTTTAGCATTAGACAAAGGATTCCATAACCGAACTTAAAAACATCTGAAGATTTCTTAGTACTTAATCAGCTGTGTGCATCGGAAACCTTTCGAGACTGAACTTATAGTGGCCGGGCCCGAAGAGTTCCGAGTAGTAAAATAGTTCAATCTAAAGGTAGTTTGGTATGGACGTTTTTTTAAATGTTTTATTTTGTTCTGATTTAACAGGCATGTTGTGTTGACATACAAAGCAGGATTGGATTTAAATGATTATTTCGTTAACGTTTTATTTATCGTTTCTATCTATTCGTGAACGTCAATGTAGTACAGTAAAATTGAGTGTCAAACATATTTGGAAGATTAAATATATACATTTTTTTTAAAAACTATCTAATGCTCATCGGAGTCAGTAAATATTTATTAGCAAACTTTAATACCATAATATGTCTGTATGTAATCTAAAACCTACTGACAAAAGACAGAAAATATTAGACTTCATGTTTTTAGTTTTTGGTCGGTTAAAACTTGAATGCTAACGTAAACGGCTTTCCCTGGAATCCTTTGTTATGTATTTTACGCGTTGTTGCTGACCATAAAATGACCACAGAGGTTTATTGTACATCCGTGATCATTATCTCCTATTTAGAGATCGTTACTGACAACGGGCCGTGTAATTGCCAGTACTTTGGTGCAAGATCTGTGTAAAACACAATCCTTTGAACTGCACTCGTTTGTCAAACAATTTTTCAACGCATTTAATTTTGATTGAGGAATTATGCCAATTTCCCGACATGAAATGTTATAGGCTATAGTGCAGATTATTAACTCAAGGCAAAATAAGATACTTTCACGCCTAAGAAATTTGTAAAATTTAACTGAAAACATGTTGGCGACATTTGTATTTAATTGCATTCGTATTGCCGTTATTAGTCATATTACTTCCTGGCGATAATCAATATGCACGTGAAGTGGAAATAACATATTTCTCTCTTTGCAGTGACCACGATGACCATACTCCGGCCAGCCGTTGACCACTGGTCAGTGACAATAGAACACAAAGGATTATTTACCCTCCGATAAGCGCGAGCAGGTGATAAAGAGTCGGCCCTAAAGCCAGGTCAGGGGTCAAGTGTCGAGCTTTAGATTCCCTCATAATGATTGTCAGCAAACTTAAAAGATCGCCTCCTCTTCTGACGGCCGATTGTCGGGTCCTCACAGATCGCTGTCTCCGTATCTTCTTCCGTTCGCTTTGTCGAGTAATCAGTTGATATGACCAATTATTTTCTATTTTTCTATTTTCGTGCATTTGGGCGAAGAGACAGTACGAAAATATTTATTGATATTCCGAAAACGTGCATAACTGATATTTATTCAGTTTACGAAACATCTATACCTGAATATGCGTCCGTTTTATTAAGGGATTAGAAGTAAAAAAACAACATGAAAATTCAAAATTTCAAAA